GGTGTCCAGGAAAAGCGTACCATATCAAAGTTATGTTTTTTTAAATGGAACACCCTGTATTTTACTGCATTTTTGAAAGCACCGTAAAAAAATAGGTGAACTTTATTAAAGGTTCTGCATACCTAGGACTTACAGTTTGTGAGATATTTCAATTTTAGTGAAAATGCAGGCTTAGCGTAAAAATTTAATATTAGCAATAAAAAAATAATTTTAAGGAAGTAGCTTTTTTAGATCCTTGAAGTTATAAATTACTATATCTGTCGTCACTTAGTATTGTACAGGGTGTTCAAAAAACTGTTGAATACTTCTCTCAGCTTTAAACAACAATAACTTGGTTATTTTAAATGAGACACCCAGTATATTTTTACTCTGGAAGTTAGAAAATTTAAAACAAATTAACTTCGGCGATGAGTAACATATCTTGAGAGTCTGTGTATACAAAACCAGATCCTGATGTAGCTACAAAAACTTTTGTGTAGAAATTGTAACGCAAGCAGTAAAACAAAACACTTATGTTAACGTTATTAAAAGAAAATACCTGAAAAAGCCTGCCTGGATTACAAATACAATTTTAGATCGGTAAACCAAAAAAATCTAATGTTTCGAAATTTGCAAAAAAATTCACATAATTTAAATCTAGAAAAACAATATAAAGAATATAAAAACAAATTAACAAATATAATCAGAAACGCAAAGGAAAAATATTATAATGAATTGATAAACAAAAACAAAAACAATTCAGAAAATATATGGAAAGTAGTTCAAAACATAACAAAATCTAACAACAAATTTACCATCACTTGATAAATGAGAATAATGTTGAAATAACTGGTAACATAGATATGGCTAAGGAATTTAATAATACTTTTCGTAATATAGGGAAAAAATTAATACAAAAAATAATACCCAATAGATTGGTTGCTTTCACTAAACTCTCTAGTTTTATTGTCCACAGATCATCAAGAAGTCAAAAACATTAAACTAAATTTAAAAAATAAAAAATCTGGAATTGACAACCTGAAATCAGAGTTAATTAAACATATCGTGGAGTTTGTGACTGAGCCAATATTATACATTATAAATGAGTGCATGAAAATTGGTACTTGGCTGTGGTTATTCCTATTTTTAAAAAAGGAAATAGTGCGTTATCAGCTAATTATAGGTCAATTTCTTTAATAACTAATCTTTGTAAAATATTGGAAAAAATTACCAAATTAAGAATAACATCTTTTTTAAATAAATATAAGTTACTTTCACAAAAACAATATGGTTTTAAGGAGCATATGTCCACCCAAGATGCTATCATAATGCTCACAAATAATGTCTCCTCTGCTCTAGATAATGGCCAGCCTTGCTTGTGCATTTTCATTGACCTTACCAAAGCCTTTAACACTGTAGTCATCCTGTACTTCTAGGATCACTAGGAAATATAGGAATTAGAGGTCAATGTCATAAATTCTTTGTCAAATAGAAAACAATGTGTAAGGTTGGGGGTGAGTGCAGTGAGTTACCTGTCGAATATGGTGTCCCGCAAGGTACGGTTTTAGGACCCCTGATATTTTTAATATACATTAATGATTTATTTGACTTACTTACCAGTGGAGGGTTTGCAGACGATACAGCTATCTTCCATAAAGGTAACACTTGGGACGAACTGAAAGAAACCGTGGAGAATGATTTGTCTTTGTAAAAGATTGGTTCAGTTACGTTACAAACCATTGACAATTAACCAGACAAGCTACTTTCCTTTTACATGCAATAAGTCAGTTTTCACATCTTTTGATTATCTGAATTTAGAAAGTCAGGGTCATTCAATTAGAATCTTACCTGCGACAAGAATAAAATATTTTGGTGTTTTTATAGATAGTGGGATATACATATAAATTATGTTATAAAGAAGCTTCAATCCATTTTATATAGGTACCTTTAAGTATCTCTGTAGGATGTTATCTAGACAATGTCTAAAAATGGTCTATCATGCTTTAATATGAGTCATATGAATTACGCTGTACCATTTTGGGGTTCAGCGGTTAGTATTCCATTGACCCACTCACAATTCTACAAAAAAGATTTTTAAAGATGATGTTGGAAAAAGAAATAACTTACCCTAGTAATGAATTGTACCTTGAAGCCAAAGTATTCGATGTAAGACTAATTTATTACTACAACTGTGTTTGTAGGTGTCATTATACTGATAATAAGCACGAAATATCTCACAACTATAAAACCAGAATAAAACAAAAGTACTTTTCTCCTTTCATGCAAAAAAATTTGGGTCAAAGATCACTACTATATTTAGCACCTAAACTATATAACACTACCTGATTTCTTGAAAATTTCTTGAAAGTAGACAATCTATCAATGTATGTATTCAAGAGGAAAATTAAAATGCACATATTAGAAACTCCTCGGGAAAAAATAAGTACATTTTTTTATTAATACAATTTTATTAATCCGAATTGACTGATTCCGTAAACATATACTTTTTTTATCCGTATATTTATGTATTTCTTTCCTGTTTTGTTTTATTATACATATTTGATGTCTTTCTGTGCTAGACATTTTGTGATATTTATACTTTATTATGTTCTTGAAACAAGTGTCAACTTATCAAGTATTGTTTATTCGTATAACTTTTAAAATTGTTTTACGTTTTTATATACTTTGTATTTTTCTACGAACATAAATTATTATTATATATAATGGTACAACCATAGATAAAATAAATAAGAGCATTTTATTTAATAGGAATTTCTCGAAAATATACATATATTTTTAATGTTTTCAAAAGGAACGAAAAAAATTTCGCTGAATGAGATTAAGGCCATTTAGATGGCAAATGTTTGATTGGGATTTATTTGGGTGATATATCCAGGTTATATATTTATATTAATTATGAATCCTACGATATAAATTAAATTAAAGATCACTAAAAATCTCCAATAAATTAGAAACCGGTTTGTCTTCAATTTTTTTAAATCTATTAGAGCTAGGGAATTTGCAACAATTTTGATATTACACAAATCAATCAGTCAGTCAACTGCTAATTTCTGGATGAATTTATTAGGTGAAATATTGGTAAATGTAGGATAGGTCAGTAAAATATCATAAAAAATCAAATTATCAGAGATCCATTATGCTGCTTTTTAATAATGTGTGGTACTTAATGAGAACGTAGACTGTAAGATGGTAACGTAATTTTAATAAAGTTATTAACATAGCATTAACAACACTTAGTTTACCAACACAACTTTTAGTGTATTGATAAAAGAAAACTTTTAGAAGTCAATGCAACCTTATCAGGATTTTCAATTATTACTCCATTTCAAATGACATATTACTGCTTTTATTAGAAGTAGCAATTATTTCTGTATATATAATTAAAAAGCATACATTTATTTTCAGATAGTTTATAAATAACAATTAATATCTCAGTAAAGTTATCAAATGCCTCATAAACAGCGTGTCCCACTAGTGCGGGAAAGTCCAATATTTATGTTAAAATGAGGAATATATGGATTTTTCTTTTTACTGTGTTGCCACATTTCTCGGAATGTACAAATTAAAAATATATTCAACTATACAGCACTACAGGACACGCTGTATATGAGAAAAATGGTATGGACAGGACTAGTATTCTTTATCTAGTCCTCTGAAATTAAAACAAATGGTTATTGGTCTAAACGAAATTTTGAAAGTGCAGTTAAATTTTCGATGGCAACGTCAAGTTTACAGAACTTAATTTGCAATTTTCACATGAAGAAACGGAGATTGATTAACTAATAAAAAAATATCTGGCTTTGCTACATATGAAAATTGCGCATTTACCTATCTTAACTTCAGCGTTGACAATTTAATTGAACTATAACACATGACCGTAATCAAAAGACGAAAATCAAAATTTCTAATTTTTCGTTGATAACAGAAAAGGTAGATCAATTATCTCTGAAGTAAATTCCGCAACTTGCCTAATTTAAGATAACCAAGATCCCCAAAAACCGAGCATAATTTTCTCAATTATTAAAATATTAATACGTATAAAGATATTAAATTTTTCATTTGATAGTAAAATTCATCTTCAAAACCTAGGAGGATAAGAATGAATAAATTTTGAGGCATCCTCCATGAATTAATTTTGTTTCTCTCTCTCTTTACAATGTGCCTACTACTTAACCAAAAAAAAACATAATTAACTTTTAACTTGTGACGTATAATGCATTATTTTATTACCAACTTTATTATGAAGACTACGCTCCTGGTTGACGTTTTTATTAGAATAAGTGATAACATCAAAGCCTCCCCATTTTCTAAATTAGTTTACGTGGCATAAAGATAAAACACTAAACAAGCAAAAACTTTTCCAGCCAAATAAAAATGCCGTTTGCATAAACCCATCAAGTAATTTATGGCAAACTTTTTCTTTGAAATTCAATTGGTGATGTGATTGGCTTTGCAAGTGGATGTTTCACGCAATTCTGATAAGATATAACATCCCCTCTCTTGTATAAAATATGGGGTGTTGGGATCTTATATAAGGGTTCTATTAGAGAGCTGATACTCACCTTCACAAGATACGTTGCTGATATCACCATCACCGCAGCGTCAGAACAGTTTCAAATTCAATCTGTGATTAAGCTTACTATGACAAGAGAACTGACGGTGGTTGCGCTTATATTTATTCTGGGTACGTATTTATAATTGTATAATTTTAAAAATTGAATTCCACCTTTTTAATTTAGCTACGCAGAAGTGATAAATGCCATAAAATACCTGCGTGAGATGTTGAAGTAGGTAATGTTAATGTCACCATTTGGGTTGTCGATACATTGTGTTCTTTTTTTCGCTCAATAATAACTATAAAAATACTATAGCGGATAAAATTGCTTGTACATTAAATATATGTAAATTGTAAGGATAATGATTATGCAATACCGTTAGTCATTATTTTTTTTTCATACACTAATCTAAGGATAGTAAAATATTCATAATGCATACATTATTATTTCTTTTTAGCATGCTTATCTTTTTTCTTTATAAAGCATTTTAATCAATGAACTAATTTTACTTAGGTCAAGATTATTCCTTGGATTATTTTTAGACCAAGAAACCTTAATGCTCCTGTGTGCCTAAAGACACGAATTTTCGAGATAAGCATTTTGAAGTTATAAAAAAGAGTAGGTATCACATTATACAATTACATATTAAGACTTATGACAAAGAGAAAGCCACTGAGTATTTGGAACAGATAAGCTTATTTAATTGTCAATGTAAGAAGTTTTTTTTAATTTAAAATATATTTAAAGCTGTGTCCTAAAAAATGTATTGAAACGTTTTGTTCGAAATACAATTTTAATTCTCTTTTAAAAAATTATGTATTTAACATTTTCTAAAGAACAGTGAAGAGGCTTAGCTCCCAAAAAAATTTGAAATTTTTTCTCCAATATTTGATAAAATAAAAAAATATGTCTGTGTACATCTCTGTTAAAGTAAGCAGTATTAATCTAACAGTGTGAATTAAAAATGTCAGCTTTTCATTTAAATTTTAATCACAATAATATTCACAAATCGCAGTTTATGACTATATAAACTTTACTTGAAACTTTTTATTTCCGAATATCAAACTGAATAAAACACAGTTTGTTTTATAACTGGAAGTCTTGATTTAATTTTCACAAAATTTAGTATCATAGGTACCTTCCAGTAAGACATATTTTATAAAATTCAAATGTTTTTAGGTGCTGTATGCACTGCAAGCTGCTACTGACTACGCCAGTGTGTGTCGAATGCGGTTAATTCCAAGTGACGCAGAGGTCTTTTTGGAATTTGATCTCAACAAATTTCGTACGGACTGTATTTAGATATTCCAGTAGTGCAACCATTTGACGAATAATTGAAAATGAGATGAAATCAAGTCTATTAAAAAACATTAAGACCTGTCTCTGTAATATTTTCATGATCAAGAAAATTACATTATTAGTACTATAATACCACTCACATAAACATATCTACTTATGACAGTACTAGTAATAGTGCCTAAACATTCATAATATTAGTCAGAAGCAATCAACTTTTTAATCTCAAAATGAACTCTTTTTATTTATGAAAAATTAACATTTCGGACGACTTCACATATTTTTTTCGAGAACTGGCACTATTTGTTTCTGTATGAAAAATGTTGACAGTTTTTTCATTTTAGAAAGGCTATAAAAACAAAAAGAACTGATCCTGTTTATTTTCAAGTTTGAACCCTTTTTGTAATGAGTTTTGGTACATACGTCCACAGCAACTTTTTTTTTTATTTTATGAGTTGCAAATCATTAAAGATCATACCTTTACAGTCTCTAAGTTATGATACTGTTAGATGTATGAATAAAAGTTCTACGACTTCCTCATTAATGAAAGAATATTTAAATATTTGTCCGTAGGGGTGGTTTGGGGTGAAGCACAGTCCTGTAACTCATGTGGATCGGAATGCCAGTCTGCTTGCGGTACGAGGCACTTCCGAACGTGCTGCTTTAACTACTTGAAGAAAAGAAGTCCCAATCCCGATCCACTACCTCAATCCATGGATCCAAGCTTAAGGTTGGAGCTGTGGCTCGCAAGATCAAGATACCCCTATTTCCAGCAAAGAAATATACTAGACAACTCACTAGAAGTTTCTAACGACGTCGGTGAACACCACAACCATGACTCCCAAATGGACTGAAGCCAATATTCTGATATGTCCGCAGCTAGGATGTTATAATTTAGTTCTTATTATAAGAAAATAATCAAATATTATTTTTTACTATGGATAATAATTTTACATCGAATCTGAATACATTTCAATGTCCTAGCTGTTTCGAACTAAACATGTATCCATCAGTTTTACAATTATTATTATAGTTTGTATAAACTCTCGGCTGGATATTATACGAACTATGAACAGAAATAAAACCTTGTCTATGTATAAAAATGTATATTTATCCGCTGCAACAATTTTATCGTTTCTAGAAAAAATAAATTGTTAATTAATTTATTGGTGAGAGTAATCAGCTTAACATATATGTTTGCTTTTCAATTTTTGTAATTATATTTTGTGCAAATATTTTATTACGGTGGCCATACTATTAATTTGAACTATGTGTTACAGTTAGATATATAGAAAACAACGTAAGTAGAACATTTGAATTTGCATAAATATCGACGCATATGACGAACTTTCAGAATTGTTTAAGTACAAATTAGTTATAAATAATAAATAAAAAGTATTTCAACAACTGTAAAATGTCAGAATTTGATTATTTTCTGCAAGTAAAACGAAATAAAATATTTATAAAATATGCTTCTACTTGCTGGGTTTTTTATAAAAAAATTTGCTTTTGAGATATTGTTTAGTATTTAAGCATATATATTTAAAGAACTCTTTATTTTAAATTTTGACATGCGTATATTAAACTAAAAAAATAGCACTTCTTGTCTGGAGATAGTTTAGAGGTAATCCAAATGGATTAATTTAAATAGATACCACACCATAAGTTTTTTCTTAAAATAATCTCTTCTACTTAAATTTTGAGTGTTTAAGAGTTTTCTGTTGTTTTATAAGGTGCACATAGATACGAGAACAATAGAATTATTGAGAGCATGTCACAGTTCTCAACAATATTTTTTCGTCGGATAAATGTAGCGCATTAACTTATTAATTCATTTTTGCACAATTTAAAAAATCAATAGCTGTTTTATACTGCGAATATTTTCTGTATAACAAAATATATGACACAATATTAATTTTCATATCTGCAACAAATCAAACACATTATTTCTCTTTTCCAATATTTTATTTATCAGACTAAATTCATAAATCTTGTTTGTTATTTCTGATAGATACATTTTATTATTGCGTGCGTATAAATAACTATTCAGAATTGTTCAATAAAATATTATCAAGCCGTTTTTTTGCAATCATAAAAAGTTATTAATACGAAATAAAAATTCGTTACACCTTTTCTATCTCTGAGACCAATACGTTCATTATTAAGAATATGATTTTTTCCATTTCACTTGTACATTTTAAACTATATTTGTTACAACTATAAAGACAAACACACAATCGTTTGTTTTGTTCCACTAGACATAAAACAATTACAGCTTAAAATTCGTCAATAGAGATATTTTCTTTAACGTTTCATTGTTTTCTAAACCTAAAGTATTATAGAAGCCACTGGCCACTATTATTGGCTGTTGTTGGTACTGCTGTTTCAGCAACATAGTAGAACATACCAAAATTGCCGATGTAAATTTAATGAAAGTTCTTGGGTTTAGAAATTTTTTAAAATACTTCGCCATCCCCTCACTTTAATATTATTTTATGAGTAATTAAATATTATATAGATTTAACTCAAAGAAATGACCTCATTTTTGCAGCAAACATATTTTAGAAATCAAAACAATGTTTTCGATTTATCATATTTTATTTTATTCTTATTACTTAGACATTAAACTGGCAGTCAGATAAATATAACACATAAAATTTGCGTGCGTCACCTCCAGAACATTTTGCAACAGTATTTAAAGAATTGGTGCAAGTATTTTCTTTTTACATAGACGCGCAAAATGTTTAAATTTAAATTACATAGTGCTAAAACTTGTTTTGTAAAATTCAGGTTTTGGAAATCTAAGTTACATATTTTGAAAGTCTGAAATCTCTCCAATTTAGATATTTTAAATACAGATTTTGTTATAGCACTGCCGTATATAAAAATAATTAATTAATTACGAAATTAGACCTATTGGTAGCTTCCTTTCAAATAAATGCAGTATTTTCAAATAGAAAACTATATCACTATATTACTTATGAACATGACTTAGAATCATTTTATAATAACTGAATATCTAATAACTTTTGATTATGAATTTCCCTTAATTCGACTGTTAAATGTCTACATAATATTCCTATATCAAAATTAACACAAGTTCAAATAAATTGGGGTTAATTATGACACCCATAGAAGGCATGACAAGGTTAGGAAAAACTGAGTTCACACAACTCATTCTTTTATTATTCAAATTCGTGATTCAACTGATTTTGAGAATATTTTAACAAAAACACCAACCAGACACCTTCAAGCTGTGAAATCTTTTTATGGAACTCAGTAAAGAGACACTCTGTATATGGTAGTACCATCTCTAAAAGTACTTCGTTTTCTTATTTTCGTTGTTATGAAAATTCATTGGCATTTTTAAGTCGTCCCGACAACTTGTTACGACGCGTAGTAACAAAACTGAACATTTAATATTCAAGGAAACTCATTACAATTCTAAACCAATCTATCTTTGAAATTATATTTACTAAAGTAGAGATTAGTAACTTAAAAGTTTATAAAATTTACCATAATTTAATTAGTTGTGGATCTACCGATAGGCCCAACATTACTTTTAAAAAATTTATAAAATATTGTTCCGCAAGAGGAATATATTTATTAAATTATTTATGATATTCCTTAAATCAATAGTTATAGCTCCAGTCAACACCCTAGAGTATTATTAATACAATTAAGATTTAGTCAAAACGTACAATGAAACATAAAAAAGGGTAGCAAGTCCTCAGTTTTTAGATATAGCAGGGAGGCAAAGCGCAACTGGCTGTGGCGCTCTTGGCTGGCACTGCCACGTCATCTTCCGTGCTTTCAACCGAGTTCTGCTGCTTGCGCCTGTTCAGTTCCACGTTCGCTTCCTGTATAGCTTCCCAGAGCTTCGCTTCCGACATGATCTGTCGAGAGAGGTCCTCAATTGCCGGTTCTGCGCTCAGTTCTAGTAGACTGTTTATGGTTTCGTCCATCTCCTCACCCTTGTCAGTTAGGGCTGGTAAATTGGATCGTTTCTTACCGCAGCCTTAAAACATTGATGCAATAATTGTAAAACATATTAAAAAATTAAAAATACAGAGCATAACTGTGATGTTACCAATACACGTATCCGATAACAAATGGGCCGTACTCCTTGGATGGAAATAAGCCGACATATTACAATTTTGCCTGCTTAACAAATTATTGGACTTCGAATAATGTTTATTATTATTTTTTTGTGATAATTGAAATTCTAATAATTGAATTCTTTGAAGATAATTGAAAAAAATATAGGCCCACAAGATAAAATCAGTTATCAGCTGCTATAGACTGGTGCAAGAATAAAATATGTCGCTTATTCTGTTTTTGCACGACATATGTGTTAGTTTTGTGTATTGTATTTATTTACTTTCATAATAGTATGTAACTTGTTTTTGATTATTACTTATACTTACACTTCTTTTTGAGCACATGATCGTTATNCCCACAAGATAAAATCAGTTATCAGCTGCTATAGACTGGTGCAAGAATAAATTATGTCGCTTATTCTGTTTTTGCACAACATATGTGTTACGTTTGTGTATTGTATTTATTTACTTTCATAAGTAGTATGTAACTATTTAATCATTTTTTATACAGAAAAACGTTTTTGATTATTACTTATACATTTCTTCTTTTTGGGCATATGATCGTTATTTATACGAAAATTTCAGATGCAAATATTATATTTATTTAACAAAATAGAATTACAACAATAAATACTAAGGTAAAATAAATCTTTATCGTCTTCTTGCACCAGGTGTTCAATTGTATTAAGATAACTTGAGGCAATAAAGACTTTCGTTCTTTGAAGACTCGTAATTACACTATTAAGTACACTTATTTAATTTGTTTAAATTCAATATTTAATGAGATCAAAAAATTTCAACTTATTTTTTTTATGAAGATAGATTGTCAGTCCATCAAATTATTTTGTTCGGACTTATTTGGTCAATGTCATAGCAACTAAAATCTATTGTACTTTCTTACAATTATATTAAGATAGTGGCTAAATTTGAATTTCGAAATGACCCTGCGATACATCAAACAAACGTAATTTGAATGGGTAACTATTTCGCACAATTGTGATTATGGTTTTTTACTTCTGAAAAAATACATTTTATTTTCTGTAAAATATGAGCTAAACAAGCCAAGAGATAAGAATGCTAATAGATTTATCTAAAGTTTAGATTCTGTTTAGATTCTAAACAGAATGCCAAAGAGAGACTTGTATGATATTAAAAAAAACTTTATATCATTTTTAATACATTAGAAAGTAGAAAGTAATTTGAGTAACAAAAATAGTCAGTTTGACAAAAATACAACAGTTGTTTTAAATTAATTTTAGCGTCAAAATGATGGCATCAAACTGTTTTGATCAAATAAATTTGACGAACATTTGTTAGTCTGGCACTGGCCTCAGATTTAAAGTAGATTCATGTTAGAACTAAATTCGCAATTTTTTATGCGAAAGATAATGGCGTACACAAACGGAAAAAATTAAATAATTGTTTTTAGGAACTTTATTGATTTGTGGCAAAACTGAGAGATAATGGATGATAAAAAGAATTATTAAACAAACTATCAGATTTACTACTATTGGTATTGTCAGTTAACAATAACACAGCTCCAAAAAAAAAAAAAAAATCAAAAAAATTATCTCTGGGGTATGTCTATGTCTACCATATGTTTTCGGGGGCTCTAAATTCGAATCCATTTAATCACATCAAGATTTTTCATAACCTCAAAAAATAGGCCCAAAAACCCAATAAATCCTTTATCCATTGACCACTCAACTCCTATAACTCTATAACCCCATAACCTCTTAATTCTATAACCTTTTAACCCTTAAACCCCGTAACCTCGAAACCTCATAACTCCGATACCCATAACCCGGTAAGAAAGAGACTTACGCCTTTAAGCCCTGAAACACAGTACCTATGTTCGAGCCATATGTACTTCTTAAGCCTTAAACCCATATTCCCCAATAATCCCCAATAATCCCATAACACCATAGCTTCATCACCTCAAAATCCAGTCAAGAATAGACTTATGCACGAATTGTCATGAATCGAAACTTCTTACATCATTGTTGTACTACTTATGTGTGTTTACAATCCAAGTATCTAATAAGGCACCCCAAAGGGAATAGTAGCCTTCTACATCCTCGTCGTTGTTCCTCATTTCGGCAAAACGTAGGCTCCCCCAACGAAAGTCTCTTTCTTACCGGGTTATGGGTGTCGAGTTTATGGGATTTCGAAGTTACGGGCTTAAAGGGTTATAGGATTAAGGGGTTATAGGGTTATAGGAATTGAGTAGTAAATGGATAGAGGATTTATTGGTGTGTTAGGCATATTTTTTGAGGTTATGAAAAATTCTGACGTGATGGGGTTAAATTGATTCAGATTCAACGACCTCGAAAACATGTGGCAGACAGAGTCAAACTCCAGAAGTAATTTTTTCGATTTTTTTTTGTGGAGCTGTGAAAATGAATGAAATGAAATTTAAAAATTGGAGTAAAATAAGAATTAGAATTAAGAATTATGTAGAATAAAAATTACAACAAAACATAACAATGGATTTGTAGTGCAATAAATTTTATGTAATTTATAATGAGGGATAATATCGAATCAAAACAAAGAATACAATTTGGAAATAATTCTCCGAAATTTTTCTGTAATACTTTTTATGTAAAAAACAAAATTTCGTGAGGGTTGTATTTTATATTTTTGCGATTTCTAACATATACCAACTTTATCTATAAAATGCACCAGTTTATTTGTAATAGTCTAAAAAAACATGATGGATTTAATAACGCAAAGTAATGAATTTGAATGTCTTTAAAAATATTTGAACTCTCTCTTTAACTCAAAGTTTCTTCTTTGGTTATCTTATTTCTTTTCTGTCTCGGGTTTTTCTTACTTCAGTTTCTTTTACAATATCCTCTTTTTCTAACGCTAGAATTAAATTTAGAATGGAGAATTAATAAATCACTTCAGCAAAAATTTTGTGGTTGGAAATGCAAAAAAGATTTTTTCCAACATCACGTAGCTTAAAACAATAATTGAAATTTCTACGTTCTGCATCTCACATTTGAAGGATCGTAGAGCATAGTAATCGTAAATCGGTGGTGCTATTGGTGTTGTCTTTTTGTTTATTTTGAAATCTACGCCTTAATGTTTGTCTCAACATATTTATTGCATATTTTAAAATAAAACTTATTAGATGTAGGTTGGGATCTGGATGCATAATCTATTTATCTGTACCACATCAAAACAAAAGAAATATTGTCTGGCAAACAGATAATAAAATATTACACCTCAGTTTACATTGCAGTCTTTACGTTATTAAGTTTTATTGCTATTTGCCAAATGCAAACAATATTTTATGTAACTAGATACGAGGTCGGTTCAGAAAATAACCGAACTTTTTAAGGTTGGCAGCATTGCGTTACGCATAACCTCCTCTATAACCACATGTTCTTGGATTTTTGATATCTCAATTAGTTTTCGTGAAATTGTTATGTGAATGCAACGTGTTTAAGTGTTAGTGACGATTTTTGAATTATGCGATTTTTTGTAACAAACTGGAGCAAAATTTTGTGTGAAACTAGGGAAAACTTTCACGGAAACGTTTTTCATTTTTGAAGCAAGCTTACGGAGATGATGCTCTGGGTCATATGAATAGTTTTCTCGAATTAAGTGGTCGTCAGTCAATTGTAGGTAATCCTCGGTCAAGAAGGCTTTGAACTTCAACTGATAATTCCCACGTTGAGCAAATCAAACATATAATGGTCATGCGTTATCGTTATATCGTTATCTTCCGTTTCAAAGGGTCTCCAGAAAGCCATGCTAAATTACTGGTTACGATATGAACAAATAATAATAATATTAACTAATAATTAATAATACTTATTATACCAATAAACAACAACGCCAAGCACTGCTCTTTACTGCACTGGCAAAACCAAGTGAACAGCGTTGAACACAAAACTAATTATAAAATACCATGCAAAAAAATATTTACGACCTAGTGGACCAATACAGGTTTTCTTTGACAACCAGCGTGCCGCCGTAGATTCTACATCAGGCGGACTGGTCTACTAATACCGTACTCGTCCAATGGCTATTAGAGTATAAATTACGAGACAAATAATGGCTAAAGCACAGGAAGAAATTTTAAGAGAAGTGCAGACGGTCATGTGCTTTAAGATTCACAGGATCCAATTGATATCGTAACAACTATACTATTAAGGCGTCTTACAACGGTTACGTCAAAAAATCAGCAAAAAGGGACCAAAGTTGTGACGGACAACTCATGGTTCTTGCACCATGACAATGCGCACACTTAGCATTTTCAATTCATCAGTTTTGTGCCTAAAATCAGATTACTGTCCTCCCCCACCCTCCTGACTCGTCGCGATTTCTCCTTATTTGCGAAATTAAAATCAGTGCTAAAAGGAGGCCGTTTTCAGACTATTAATAACGTCAAAGAAAATTTGTCACATACTTTGAAGACTATTTCAAATGAAATGATCAAGAACTGCTTTGCGAAATGGGAACGCCGTTGGAAAAAGTGTGCAAATAGGGGAGGGAAGTATTTTGATGGAGTCAAGGACCAATAATATATAAAAAAAAGTTTAAAAAAATAAAGTTCAGTTATTTTATGACCAGACCTCGTACTATTTGCAACGCCCAAAATCTTTGAGTAACTTGATTGAGTAAAATAATTGAAATGATCTCTAACTATGAAAAGTATATGGTATGATTCTCATATTTAATACCATTAATATTAAATATTGAATATTATATCCTAAATTAAGTTAATTTTTACATTAATCAAATTTATTATTTTCACTATTGTTATTATAAGAAATACTTAACCATTTTTCAAAAATTTGAATAAAAATTCTTATATAAAGGTTAGTCAGTTAATAATTTGAACGAATATTCTTTTACATTAAAACAGTCAATCAAAAGATACAATCAAACAGTTTTCATAACTCCCTAACTTTAAACGATAGGTTTATAACTAATGTTACTGTATATGTACACACAAATTTAAATATTGATATTGCATGAATATGCGTATTTTTACGTTTTCTACCAAAACGCCACAAATGAGGCACACTTCCACTTTAACATATCTTATCTCAACATGTAAGCCACAATGTGAACACCTATTCCTAGTTCACTGATATGTTGTCCATGAAACTGTTAGTGTTTATTTACAGTGACCACACACAAGTGAGTACCCCTTTGTGTTATGGGTTATGAGTCAAATATATTAAAAATAATAATTCGCAGAATACATTATGATAATAATAAATGATCATATTGTTATCTTAAGAAAATCTGTGTTTTATTTCAATTGATTCTACAATTAAATATTTAAATGTGGGATTTATAACTTTTTTAATTAATTTATAATATAATATTTTGGCTTTACTATGATTATTATTATTAAATATGTTATCTTATAGGGTCCATTCCAAAAATTTAATAGAGGTAATTCATCATGTTACTCTAAAAAGAAAGCTTTAATATACGTTTTAAATTGTATTTTTTTTTTCGCGTCTGCCTTAATAAAACGTTTTGAGTCTAACTAAGTCTTACCATTTCGGTGTTATTTAGTAGGTACCCTTTTAAAAAAGTAATTCATTCAGGTATGAAAAGAACTGTAACATTTTTAACATAGAAATGACGTGCAAGAAAGTATTATTTTTAAATAAATATACAATATTCATGAGAATTCCTATATAAATACTTACATTTAAAACAGTGATATATGTATGTTTTGAAGTAACAGTACCCTCGCTGTTGCATATTTACAATTTCTGTTACAATTGTTTGAACAGTTTATTTGTGCAAAAATTGTGATGAAGCCATTGGCATACAATATATGTTTAAAATTAGTAAACATAATTTAAAAGTGCATTTGTTAAAAATACAACTTTAAGATTGCTGTGAAAAAAAAAAATTAATATATAAGCTTTTCAAAATAAAATTAATCATTTTCATATCGACCTATGGTTTTTAACGGCATATTACTTAAAAATTATTTTACATCTCAAATAATGTTTTACCAACAATGCCAACCATTTTTCAGTGATCGAAAACCATAAGGTCAGAATAGGAGTTTGCATCAGGGGTTTATCACTCCTGTATCGACAAATATGTACGGCATTACTGAAAAATTCTATATCATATTGTAAGTCTTATTATAGAAAGGCCGTACAGTAGTAAATAGTTTGTATTAAGGAGAAAATAGTAGTAAAAATAAAATCAATTTTTGCAAGTAATACTTATTTGCAAAAATATATTTCAAAACATTTGGAACCATTTTTTTTTGTACGGAATTTTGTTTTTGTTGATTATTGTTGTCAGTATTATCAAAATATATTAATGAGTACAAAAATTTTTTACCGTGAAATCCTACCTTTGAGAGGGAAATTAATTTTCCTATAGTAAGCACATGTTTCATGAAAAATGTACGGCATGGCCAAAAATATCATTATTTTATAAAATAGAATTAAAATTAGTGAATTTGATGTTGGTTCAAATCACCCCCCATACGCTACTTACAAATAGAGGGTTGCACCCTGCATATCTAACCCCTGTATCAGCAGATACGTACGGCGTCACTAAAAAAGTTATCTACGTATCAATCCGAAACTTTCATAAATGCCGTACTGTGTAAATCACCAAAAATCGGGCCAAAATTTTCAGAAAATCAAACATTTTCCTGGCTTCCAGTGTTGCTATTTTTGTATTGCAATAGGTCGAGGTTCATTTTTTTTGTATAACCTATATACTTTAGAAATGCCGTACAAAAATGTTTTGTCGAAAACCAGCCCCCTTGGTGGACAGGTTTAGCTTACCTGTGTACTCAATTGTATCAACAAGAATTGACGGCATAGTTTCTGTTATTGTTATATATGGTAGTATTGCTTTATAAGTAATTCATACTGGGTCAAATGACCCCTTGAAAATTTCCGATGGGTTTGTAGTCTATATGAATAACCGCAAACATTTAGCAAACTATAAGAAGCATATCCCAACATACTTTAATAAAACGAAAGGAAATTATTTGCCTCTTTCTGTCCAATTTAACATAGAATTCTTAAAAAAAAAACAATAGTCGTCACTTGGAACCTGAAATTCCGATGTCCTTAATTACTAGTTTGCGATTTGAAATGCGTTAAGCAACTAATACAGAAGACCCTTTTTTTGCAAGCTCAAACGAACGATAACAACCACATCCTGTTATCAGGGATATTTGATCAACCAACGAATATTTATTTATCAATGTAGATTTTAAATTCAGTACGGACTTAAAGAATGAAGTAATAGGAACTTTCCTTTAACACCCAAAGGAAATGAGACACCACGTATAATCGAAAAATTTTAATAAAAGCCCAACTTTTATTTGAAATGTTTAAATGTTTGTTTATATGTATTATTCATATTACTAAAGTTGTGGAAGAATGCATCTTACGTGGAACATCCTTATCATAAAAGAGCCTTTGTTTTTCTTAATAAAATCACGAATAAAATATATATTTTTTAATTGATTAAACTTCGATACCGAAGCTGAAAGAATTGAATGTTACATAATTAAAAAAGATATGAAGATGCACCAGTGATTTTATCTTTTAGAAATTTTAAATCCTGAAAAATATTTTGATAATACCATTGACGAATGACATTTTTAATTTAATATTTTATCACCGATAAAACCATGTGTGGTGTTGTCAGCGATAAGACTTGCGTTTTCTCAGTATAATAAGGACGCTATTGGCCAAAAATTAATAAAATAATGTAATGAAAGAAAAATAATGGTAAATAAAATATGATTTTCATATTAAATTAAACCTCAAATGACAGAAATATTTTATCTAGCCCTCATGGAAAATTATAAAAAATATACAAACACCGTAAATATTCACCGCATGTGTATTTCTTAAAAATAATATGGTCACCACTTTCCATAATATATATGCACGTCAAAGAAATCAACATGTCTGTTAGATATTTCCATAAAACGATGCAGCGAAACAGGACATGCATTTTAAAATGCGAGATTTTGATAAATAATTATATAAATTAGCTACTTAATTGACTTTGTCCTTCTTTACCATATGCCTAAATATCTTTAAATTATTGTTATTCAAAAGCTTCAAACACTTGATGATCATAAATAAAATATTGAAACCCTGAACTCCATAGAATGTATTTTTTTCAGGAAATATGTTGAAAGTGAGAGGCCAACTTGTAACCAGAAAACAAATATTGGTAATATGTGGAATAATATTTTGTCTGCCATTATTAATATTATTATTGGACCACCCAAGGACTAGATACATTTTAAAAACAGTGCAACTGAAATCGGCCTTTTCATTAGCATCAGATTATACACATTTAGTAAATATAAACTTTACATTTAATATGCTTCCATTAATCTGTATCGGAGACGAAGAACCTTTGTTAATTTTAGTTCATTCCGCAACCAATCATTTCAATAACAGAAAAGTCATCAGAGAAACTTGGGGCCAATACGACGATGACATAAGACTTTTGTTTTTAGTAGGGACAGCTAACGGCAAGGATATTCAAGAGAAACTTGAAGAAGAAAGTAAGCAGCATAGTGACTTACTTCAAGGAAATTTTGTGGATACCTACCACAACCTTACTTATAAACACGTAATGGGTTTGAAATACGCCGTATACCATTGTTCTCAGGCTAAATTTGTATTAAAGGTGGATGATGATGTTTTCGTTAATATTCCTACTTTGAAAATGTTTATAGCTACTTATATCTGCCAAAATAGACAACCAACGAAAATACTATGTTCAAGAATACGCAATCCTACCGTATTAAGGTCAGGAAAATGGGCGACATCCTTGGAAGATTACCCGGCGAAAAATTATCCGACACATTGTGGGGGTTTTGCAATATTTTACCCTCAAAATGTTATATCAACTCTATACGAGATGGCTCAAAAAACTAAATTCTTTTGGGTAGATGATGTATTCGTTACTGGAATATGTGCCAAACAGTCCAATATTACCCATATAGGTATTGAACATTTAGTACTGTCTACTGCAGATGTTCATAATATCGTTGATTTGTCATTTACCAATATTACTAAACCATTTTTGATTGGGAGAATTAATTTGAATGAAAATCAAATTAGATCTTTATGGAAATTTGGTAGAAGCCATACATCAAAGACTATATTAGATTATCTCGACTACAATTAGTGGTTTTGAATAATTTTATAATTAGTTAATTTATTTTTCTATCGTAGCTAAACTGTCAGTATTATATTTTTACTTTTTGAAATAAAATGTTTTTAAAAGTTTTAATATCTGCGTTTATTTATCTTCTGTGGACTAATTAAAAAGCTGTTAGAACTGAATAAACAGGGGCTTTTTATAACTCATTGCAGTCAAAATTATTTGTCAATACCATACAAATTTTTTCGCCTTAATACATACTTTTAAAAGTAGTGTATGTTCTGCTTTACTTCATAATTTATGCCATGACTTCATTAACTACGTTTTTAATTTATCTTTTTTATTTTATATAAATATAATAATAAAAGATTATTACCTCTATAATCCTAATAACAAAATACACAACGTCATTAAATTTAATGAAACATTTGCATTGTGTATTTAAAAACTCAGTCTTTATCTATTTATTTATAAATTTACATATGTATACTTATTTCATGAAAACTGTTGAATATGGCAATGTTTTTTCTACTAAATAAATACATACTTATATAAATCGTTTCTTATGTAAAGACCAAACCAAATAGTTTTAGAAACCATTCCCACTTGAACAAACTTTTTGATGTGGCTTCTAAAAAATAGCTTTGTTCCATTTCATATTTTTTATCAGCTAGAATAAAACCATTTTATAAATGAAACGCTTTCATCGGATAAAAGGTTACGGTAGAATATGATCTTTCACAATAAGAGCGTTTCAGTAAAATTTGCTTATATAACTAACAATAAACCGACTAACAGCAAATAAATTATATTTGTATAGAACAAACATTAAATGATTTAGATAAGGGATATAGGTTGCATTAATAGATATTATATTATAAAAAAGTTTTTTGGTGCAATTTTTTATAAATTTTGCACCAAACTTCCGGTCTTGCATTATGTTCTTTACAAGGTCCAAACAAATGAGTCCAATTGCGCCCAGCTTTCCAAATACTATTTTACATATTAACTATTATATCAATTATCTAAAAAGCAAAATAAAATTTCTACGTCAGTGATGTTTTTGTAGTTTTGATTATGACATTTCAAATATATAACATTATTTTTGTGCAATAAATATCATTACAGCTCATTTTTAGAATAAAGTATGGTACTTTTTTCTTAGAAATAACATTTTACATAATTTTATGTGTTCAATTTCAAAAATAACCCGTGGCATCAAAATTCTGGTGTTTTTATTACATATTCCTTACCGTATATTCATCAATGATTGGTATATTCGAAAATTTTCGATTATTGCGATACTTTCAATAAACATCTTTTTTTATTTTGAGGAGTCCTTTCAACAGACAAAGTTTGGCGTGTGTAAGCCGCTGTATGTAAAAAATGTATTTATTTTAAAATGATTCAGATTATTTAACTGCTTTAAATATACCTACATCCAAAATATTTTCAAATTAAATTATAGATATGATTTATATAGCCATTTGTTATTTCCGATTTTTGTAATCAATAATGGTAACACTTTTTTTTTACTTACCTGTAAAGGCATTACAGAAAGGACGTTTGTCCGGTTCAATGAACACTCTCTCTCTGGTGGGGTAAGGTGCCGACCCCTGGATAAAATACAATTACTGTATTCTTGATAAACTATATTTACTGGGTGATTCACATAAAACATTCCGATTCAACAACTAATGACGCAAAGAAATTTGTAGATTCTGTAAAAACTAATCGATGACGTCAATTAAGAAGTCAAGTAGAAGTTTTCGAGTATAAATTGATATCGATGCCACTGGAATCAAAAGAAATGTGCAGGAATTTTGACAAATGGTTTATCTTCGCTACAATCAAATTTTAAGCTAAATATGTTCTATAAATAACTATCGAAAAATTTAATAATTTTTAAGATTACTGCATAATCAAGTTACTCGAAACAGATTGAATTGTACCACTTGCAGATTGATTACATTTAATGCAATTTGATATGATTTTCGTAAACTTAAAGAAGGTCTGATGCATTTTGTACTCTGTAGGCTTTATATATTTTAATTAAATTGGTAGTACAATCGTGTGCAATTCTAATACAAGTTGTTTCAAGTTTACTTGAAATAGCCAAATTGTGTCAGATTGTTTTGTGTCTATTGCTGAAATTTATATCGTTTCTTATGCAAGATACTTTTACAATACTTGCACCAGACTTAACCGAAAGTACTTGAGTCCAAAGGGGTGAATATAAGTCAAGTACAATATGTCTTACTTAATTCTAATGTAAGTTTGCAACATAGTCACTTGCTTTAATTTACCCCTTTGTGCTCAAGTGCCCTGAATCAAATCCATTGAAAGCTTTGATCAAGACAATTGCACAATGAATCTTGCAGTAAACCTGATGCTAATTTCAGCAATAGGTACACAGCACTCTTGTATAAGTGTCTTGTGCAAGATTTTGCTACCAGGGATGTAATGGTAGACATAACTTTAATTTAACTTCTGAAGTTGATCAAACTTTATAAAAATAAAGTTAAAGGAATATAGCATACGACTTTATAAGTAAAAAAAAAAATTACATGCTTGGTAAAGCTGATCATTAAAATAGGCTTAGAAGTTTTTGCAGATGTGTTTGAGTTTCACATTTACTCTATTAACAAAAATTCCCCTTCCCTATCAATCTAGATACTAATATAATAATACTGTCTAAATTCTCATTTATTTTCTAACTACTCAAACAACACAAGACAAACGATTTCACTATTATCACGCGGTCTATATAATTCATAATTCATATATGTATAATAGTGCAGTAGATGATTTTTCTAAATCTTAATTGAGTTGGAGATAAAACATTTATTCTTCCCAAAACAAGAATAAGCTGTTCATAAACAATACTTACTAAAATGTTTGGAAAGGTAGACAGGTATACTAAATAGGACTATAGAATAATCAGTACATTTAGAATTTTTAAATTTAAGGAAGACTATAGCATCCTTCCAACATACTAAAAAAGTTGTCTTGATCAAACAGTCAAACTTAATACAATTGAAGTTTTATTAAGAAATTATTTTATTGAATGAGCAGAAAAGGTATTTTAAAGTCTATCCAATTTATTATTTTATTTAATAAATTGCTTCATTCAAATCTTAAAATAATTCTTAAACATTTTAAATTTTATTGTTATTTATTAATAATAATTCAGTTCAATTTTAAGAGCTCAAAACTATTATGAATTTCGACTGTCTTTACCTTTATCACGTGATATGTAAAACTGTTGAATTTTCAAAATCTTTTTTGTGACACAATTTTCTTAAAATTTAGTGGTAATGTGGATAAATCACTTTTCAAAATTCTGAGAAATAAAAATTTCTTCTGACTCCAACGCCATCTACGATGTTCATAGTATCAGCTGGCGCTAACAGAATCAAAAAATCTCTTTCAGTTATTCTAATTAAGGAGTCAGGGAATTTTATGTGAATCACTTGCTGCATAAGAATAATAACAGTATACGAAATAAACAACGTTAGAATGAGATCTAAATGATACAAATGTATGCTATATCTAATTTTTTGTTGAGATTAAGATAACTTTCTCTTTTATCACAGATATTTTACCACATCACATAATTATTATTATACAGCGTGTTACAGAATGACGTTTTGAAAATTTTGGAAATTATTGTAGATGATGAAACAGTTTGCAATAAGAATCCTATAGCTAGAAATGTGAAGTAAAGTTTCCACAGTACTATACACTAAAATCAGACTGAATTGGCTGATCGTGCAAAACCTGCCAGACACTTACGTAATCCACGTGCATTACGTGGGCAGCTGCACGTGTGCAAGTTCTTTAATGCATGTTCCATAATGTTTTCAAATTCAGGGGTTCGTGTCTGTCTCTTTGCATTTGCCTGATGTGTATCAGATGACACGGTTTCTGTATTCCTAAGTCGACGATCAACATTGGTGAATAATGGGTTGCTAGGAAGTCGTCTGTTTGGGTACCTTCCTGCGTACAATCAACGAGCTGCACTGGCATTCACGCTAGCATCACCTTAACACAAATGAATGTCAGCAAATTCTCCAAATGTGTAATTATCCTCCATGAAGCCAGAACTTAACTGCAGTATGTAAAACAGGATAAGCACACAACTGTATACTGACTTAACTTGGTTAGTTGTGTGTTTACAGCACAATGTCAGTGGATGAAAGGTGTGAAAGACAATAAGCACTCTTCATGTACACAGGCTTAGGCAGACTACTGTAGTTTACTGTGTTTACAGTCCTTCGTCCGCAGCAGTAACATAATGTCAATGGATGAAATGGTAGCTACCCAAGTGATAGGAGGTCAAAACCTCCTACTGCTGTAAAATGTTTATTTCACATTTCCAGCTATAGGTTCCTTATCGCAAAATGTTTCGAATTTCACCTCTACAATTTTTAAAACGCCATTCTGTAATCCCCTGTATATTGAATGATCATATTTATGTATGCGGGTTATTTTATTTTGTAAGAATTCTTTTTTTATTTGGGATTGAACCAAAAACCAGTAACTTTTTCCTAAATTTAGCAACAAGCTCAGTTCGCAAAAACATACCCTAGTTATAGCAATTTATTGGAAATGAAAATAAGAATGAAACAGTTACGACTTCACAAGATTATTTTTATTTTATAAACGATTAAATCAAACTAATTTCAATAAATTACTATAATATATTGACCTTTTTCTGAGAATATGTGTTCAGATAAATAAAATAGGTTAGCTCTATAAAGTTTTGCCATAAATAAATCAATGTGAAAATTAAGCAAGTTAAACAAAATTTAAATACCTAAATTTGAAATTTTCTTAAATTATAAATACGTATAAGAAAACTACATATATCTACACGTACTTATGCGGTTGTTTTTAAATATTGCAAAAAGTTTTCAGTATAAATTTTAATTCGAACTAAGAATAAATATAGACATTAGATCAAATGTACCATATTATGGAGAACTTGAAAGAAATCTACTTACCTCATATTAAAATCAAAAACAGCTAATACAGATTATATCATTTCATTTAAAAGCATCCATTAAATATACGTACAAGGACACGATGAACAATCAATCGGATATGGGTAGGACATGTAAAAATAACGTTATAAGTTCATATATATATTTTTTTATTCGGGTTTATCCTGTAAAATATTACTTTTAAAGTTAAGAGTTGAAAATCGTTTTTTTTTTTTTCATTAAGTTTGAATAATTTTTGGATGAAAGCTAAGTTATTAAATGCTATGTCTGCAAATGCATTCAATTTGTTCAAACCTCATTTGGGAGCCAGGGGCGTAGAGCGTCCTCCCTCCCCCCAAAAAAAAAAATTATTGGCAAATTTTTAAATTTTTCTATATATTTTTTAAAGGTTGTATTTTTTAAGTGAAAAAAGTTATACTTTGCTTGTGTACATTTCGAGCTAGAACTGTATAAAGATTTATTATTTTCGATCTTAATAGCGATAAAAACATGAAAATTTGTGCAAATGACATTTGACAATATGCATTTATTTTACTACATAGAGAACCAATTGATGTTTCCAGATTTTATTATTATTAAGATATGTCGGAAATATATGTATAACAAGTACATCTTCTTCACTTAAAAAAGTACGTAAGTCTTGAAAAATGGTGACCAAAATTATAAAATTGGCCTATAAAATAGCTATAAAGTAGCTCTCGGTAAATTGAATGCATTGGTAGAAATAACAGCTTTTACCTAAAAATAAGAAACAAAAAAAAACTAAAACTTACAACGTAAAATCGAATTTGAACTCTCAATTTCAAGATTTAGTAACTCTACAGGGTGAGCCCGAATAAGAAAAATATATAAACTTGTGTCGTTATTTTTGCAAGGCCTACCTAAATCCGTGAGATTGACCACCATTTTTTGAATTGGACACCCTGCACATAAGTTTTTGAAAATTGTGTGCAATCTCTGGTGTCCGCACATTCTGATTGTCAAATGCCGAATAAATCTAAAATTCTCGTAAATATGTATATGTAAAAAATGTCTACCTAAGTTTAATAAATTATCTTTGAATTACTATTCAGTTGCTACATATTAAAATTTTTGAATCATTTATACCGGGCCTTACTTAAACATTGAGTTTAAAATAAGACAATTTATGGTAAACATTAATATTTTCTAAACATTTTGCTCTTCTTAAATTCTTAAACTCGAAATTAAGTCGATACCTAGGTAGACTAGCGTACCACTTTGTGACGTAACGAAAATAATTTCATTCACAAAAATACATACACAGACTCACAGTTTTTAATAAATTAATTCTTGGACTTACCGACTCTAAATTTAGTACAGTATAATTTTTTGATATTAGTTACTTCCATACAAAATTGTATAAAGTTTAAATAGTGATATTGAAACTGTCTGTGTAAAATGTTCAATAAAATGCTATTTGATAATGCAAGGAATCTTCTTTTGCATAAGTGAAAAGATTATTTTCCATCAACATTATTGTCCGAAAGTCTAAGAACAATTTCTTATTTAAACTCAAAATTTTGATTTTTTTTTTCGATATTTCATGATGCAAAATTGTGAGAAATATAAGGCATTTTTTTTTCATCTTAATCATGGTTAATTGATGTTTACAGAGCAATAAACCTGCTCCTTTAATTTTTTATAAAACTTTGACGATTCAGGAAAGAAAAACGGTTCTACCGATCGATTTCAAAATTTACAGACCTCATGGGCATATTGAGCTAAAAAAAAACCTACAAACATTGGTACTCTTCGCAATATTCACAAAGTAGTCGTCGATTTCCCAAACATACCAAAAGGCCCTTGAAGAGGATAGATTCTAGTTTCCAAAACCCACCTTCCGTTCGCTGTACATTAGTTCATGAGATATCGATCATCAAAAAAAGGTGATATTTCACTCAATAGAAGGTATCTCAATGAGAAATAATCGTACAGAAAATAAAAAAAAAACAAATTGAAGCTGAGGAGTCAGGCTAAATGACCCTGTCATTGATTACGCCAGAAAAAAAGTTGTGCGCGCATGGACAGTTTAAAAAAAAATGTAGAATTTTTGCCTTGAATTATTTCTCTTGATTGCGCCGAGAGTGATGCTCAAAAAAATGTTTTCATCTCAAGATTTCAGAACTAGAAACTTCAAGCTTCAAGATGCTTCTTTTTTTTTTCTCGATACGACCATTATTCACGAAGTTACAGTGTAAATATGATAATAAATTACAGTTACGGTTAGGATTACAGTTCGTACGATATTTTGTTGAGATATAATTGCAAGAAGACCCCTGCGTCACTTTCTTGGAATTAACCGCATTCCACACCCGAGGCAGAAAAACATTCGCGGCGTGGCATTCACCATAGCAGCTTGCACCGCATACTGTGTTTTGCAGTTACGAAGGCATGTTTCTTCGGTTCTTTTCTTGGCATTCTATCTCAACAAATATTGTACACACTGTACCTGTGACGGAAAATACCATGTAACTTTTCTGTGATTTGAATCTCCCTGTGTCATAAACGTCTATAGCCACTGAAACTCGGTATTATCCGCTGTTTTCTGGTCTTTAAATTTCTTTTCATGGATTTTCAACTTATACTAGCACATCAAAACTACCCCAAAAAGTGTTCTAAATTTCAATCCCTTTAACCTATAACAAAATTATGTGTCCGTCACTGATTCAGGTATAAATGAGCTACACTTTACTAAGTTTAGTGTTCGAAACGTCAATTGTATTTTTTTTATTTCTTTGAACCTATTGGAAAGCGTAGCTCTTGCTTTTCTCTTATGTAACATTTATCCAAAGTAACCCTAAAAAATTCAGAAGTATTTGAAATGCCCTATTACCCTCTTGGGAAGAAACATAGCTTCAGCCTCCGAAACGAGAAGAACTGCCACCATGCAGGCACAGATTATGAAGAATGCCGACGACGTGGTCATGTCCCCTGAAAATAAGCAATGAAAGAAGAGAATTATTAACAGTGATAAATGGATAAGCTTTATTGGCGACCCCCCGCGCCGTTACAATGGAATACTCTCTGCATCCGGCTGCGAGGAATGCGGGGGTAAAAGCCACTTAGTCTACTCTAACTACAAGGCTCAACACCCCGGTTCTCTAATCATTTGCCTACTTTGATTGTTCATTGTTAAATGGAGAGGCCGAATTATTTTACTCGAAATGCTGTAAGTGATCGATTTTTATTCTTCTCCTAATTCATATTCGAGAGGAAAATGCAATTTAAATTTGCTTATAACTGAAAAACTTGTTCACATATAAGTAAAAATGTTATCTTTAGTTTCGAGATTAAGCAAAATATCTCGATATTTTTTAGGTATAATAAAATTTCCAGTATAGTTACAGATATTATCCTAGAAATAGTTCTCTTTGTTTGAAGGTAAGTCATTTCTCTTGATACTGAACTTCGAAATAAAAAATCTTGTAACAACTAACAAATCAGAAAATGGAGATTACGCAAATTTTAGATGCTAATAGAACCAGCAACCTTCTAACATTAATAGTAATTGTCTATAAGTAATAGTACAAAACCAAATTTGATAAAATCTTCCTTTCATTTTCGTTAATTCTAATTTAGGAAACATTAAAAATAATGCCGGTTACGAAACTTGAAGTGGCTTACTAATCATTACATATAGCTTAACAAAACGGATCCATATCACTAATCTTAATAAATTATACCTGTCAGACAAACGCACAAAACTGATTTCAAATCAGTCGCGTTACTCGAATAAGTTCATGTTCATGTAGGCACAAATTTTTGTACAATGCAGTTTTTTTAAAGTGTAAGCAAGAAAGTACGACATAAATTTTGCTTATCTAATAAAATTATTCTTTTCGTAAGTCGCAATGGTCTGTGATTTTCTCTGCTCGGGATATCTAGCTTTTAGATTTTTTTAAAATGTCCCTTTTTTTAATCTTATAATACGTTTAATAAGTGTTTCTAACTGTTTTTAATTTTAAATGATTAAACTAATTTCATTTGGAAAAATCTTCTTAAATCAATCATATTTCGAAACTAATGGTAATTTTGCTGCTACAAGCTCACATAAATTATTTCGTTTTAAAACTACTTTGGTACATATAAGTAGTACATAAACTTTTATATTGTCAAACATTGTTTATAACTATATTATAATGAAATTATTTCTTCCGGGCAAAACTACTAATTCTAATGAAGCTGGCAGTCTTACATTAATTAATTAATATTACTTCCGAATTTTTGATACACTATGTAGATAGTTCACGTACTTTGTATGTAACTTTACTTATTATGAAAGTTAATTTGTAAGAACTCAATATATTTATATGTTTCCTACTTTATTTTGTCACGTTGATAGTCATAAATATAAATCATCTTTAGAATTCTATTATATCTTTGCTGAAGTCAAATTTATCGTTTAAGAATGATACTATTGTAAGTTATATCAATTAAAACTCCCACTCCCACTGTTAAAATGACGTTTAATTTTTTCGCAAACAGCAAATGTGTTAAACAATAATACAAAGCGTAAAATAATAAACTTTTGACACTCCATTCTACTACATAGAAATACCAATTGTATCACTAATTTCAGAGGGTACAGTATGACTTTCAATGCCCATGGATTAAATTTGCTATTACCTAATTCTAAAAATGAAAACAAACGAAGTGAATGGGCCATCCCTCATGCTTACTTGGCCGAAAATAAACTGATTTAGATCAAATTACTTTCGTACAATTTTGCTTAGGTTTACTTCACACCTAATATAAAATCTTTTGTTTTTGCGATATTTCATTTTGTCGGTAAAAGATTTTGGAAAAATGTATGGATAATTTTTTATGTAACCCCACTTCATTCATTGCCAACGAGGTAAGCATGTTGCATAGGTCGCTAAAATACGTTGTGCCTCACAAAAATAGTTTTCCAATTTTTCTGTTAACGCCTACTGAAGGCCCCTAAATGTTGTTCCGTGGAACCTCATTCTAATGGATGTACAACATTAAACGTTGACATTTGAATAAAGGTAAGTTAGTCGAAATTGTACAAAATATTTAATAAAACTACAAACTTAACATATATTTGCCTTCATTCTTTATCTGGCAACAAGTCTGACGTCCGTTAATTGAAGTTAACGAAAATGTAACTACTATAATGATTATGAGTTCTACTTTGCTTCCCCTGTAAGTATCTGAACGATCATATTTTTGGATGTTGAAAAACATCAGTGGCAAGTGCAGTTCATAGTTCCTACAAAATACTAATTTTTATAGTTCATTGGTTTAGTGATTTGTTTCCTCTGACTACTGAGCAGATGAGACGAAGGAACTCCAGTTTGAAGAGTTACAGAAGTTTTAGTTTAGTAATAAAGTAATAATAGTTTCATTCTTTAAAAAATATATTAACAATTTATAGAAAAAGATTATTATTTATTACTTATACCCCTTGTTAATATTTACATAGTTTCTATATGCTGTTGAGAGATTTACCACAACAGAGACTAATTAGACTTTTCCTAAAGAAGGTCAAATTTAACTAGGATACAAGTCTAACAAAAACAATCTATCCGCAATTGACAACAGCAGAAATTTAAAACAATTTTTCTGTGAGAAGATGTACTTCAGCTACATGCAAAGAACACTTTGTTTATAAATTTATGTTTCATAAAACATTCTCGTTTTATCAAAATCTCAACTAAACTCAACTAAAAATAAAATTGCAAAAAACCACAAAAGATTGTTTCAGGTATTCTTAGCAACCTCTATGCTTTAGGTAAGAAATAAATTTATGTCCCCTTCAGCTACCCTAAAAACCCTTTTATAACAAATTTTATTGAAATTTCTTAAAAAGTTAAAGATATATTGTTTGGGCGCCATAACTTCTTTAGCAAATTTTTGTGCTAAGATAACTCTGTTTAAATTAGTTTATTTTCATCTAAGAGAGCTACTGTTGAAATAACGCCCATTCACGTCAAGACGCCCTGTATTATACAATTTTGCAATTATAACAATAATAAATAGTAAATTAATAATTATTTTATTTATTTAATTACTTCAGAACTAAAGCATATTTAATTATTAGGATAATTATTATTATCTACAAGATTGAAGAACGCTCTTTGGTCTTTTGATTAAATATTATATTATACATTAAAAATGTATTTTAATTATGAGGAACAGAGTTACTTTTAATCCCTGAAGAATTAAATTTTTTATACTGTTGCGTCAAAAACAAAGGAATATACAAGCCAATTTGACAGCATTTAGAGTCACAGACTGTAACGAAATGGTATGTATATCGGGTGATTTTGGCTTTCTCTTTTGTCAGCAAGCTTCTTACAAGCTTAGGCTCAAAAGATACAGTTTAGTTCTTCAATAGATATTTTAATAAAACGTTTTAATATAAGTATACACTTTAGAGTAGGTACGTAAACAGGGTTACATATACACATATAGCATACAAATTTATGGTACATACAGTGATTACGCGTATTGTTGTAAATAATATAATATCTGAACTAACCTGTTGATTCCTCCCTCTTTAGTCGGTAATACGATAAACAACCAAGTAAACAAGAAAGGATTAATAAGCTCTTATATATAACACTTTTCTACCCCATCCCACTGAGCCCTTAACTGCGCACTCAGCAACCCATTACCCTATCTNTGAAAGAAGAGAATTATTAACAGTGATAAATGGATAAGCTTTATTGGCGACCCCCCGCGCCGTTACAATGGAATACTCTCTGCATCCGGCTGCGAGGAATGCAGGGGTAAAAGCCACTTAGTCTACTCTAACTACAAGGCTCAACACCCCGGTTCTCTAATCATTTGCCTACTTTGATTGTTCATTGTTAAATGGAGAGGCCGAATTATTTTACTCGAAATGCTGTAAGTGATCGATTTTTATTCTTCTCCTAATTCATATTCGAGAGGAAAATGCAATTTAAATTTGCCTGTAACTGAAAAACTCATTCACATTTAAGTAAAAATGTTATCTTGAGTTTCGAGATTAAGCAAAATATCTCGATATTTTTTAGGTATAATAAAATTTCCAGTATAGTTACAGATATTATCCTAGAAATAGTTCTCTTTGTTTGAAGGTAAGTCATTTCTCTTGATACTGAACTTCGAAATAAAAAATCTTGTAACAACTAACAAATCAGAAAATGGAGATTACGCAAATTTTAGATGCTAATAGAACCAGCAACCTTCTAACATTAATAGTAATTGTCTATAAGTAATAGTACAAAACCAAATTTGATAAAATCTTCCTTTCATTTTCGTTAATTCTAATTTAGGAAACATTAAAAATAATGCCGGTTACGAAACTTGAAGTGGCTTACTAATCATTACATATAGCTTAACAAAACGGATCCATATCACTAATCTTAATAAATTATACCTGTCAGACAAACGCACAAAACTGATTTCAAATCAGTCGCGTTACTCGAATAAGTTCATGTTCATGTAGGCACAAATTTTTGTACAATGCAGTTTTTTTAAAGTGTAAGCAAGAAAGTACGACATAAATTTTGCTTATCTAATAAAATTATTCTTTTCGTAAGTCGCAATGGTCTGTGATTTTCTCTGCTCGGGATATCTAGCTTTTAGATTTTTTTAAAATGTCCCTTATTTTAATCTTATAATACGTTTAATAAGTGTTTCTAACTGTTTTTAATTTTAAATGATTAAACTAATTTCATTTGGAAAAATCTTCTTAAATCAATCATATTTCGAAACTAATGGTAATTTTGCTGCTACAAGCTCACATAAATTATTTCGTTTTAAAACTACTTTGGTACATATAAGTAGTACATAAACTTTTATATTGTCAAACATTGTTTATAACTATATTATAATGAAATTATTTCTTCCGGGCAAAACTACTAATTCTAATGAAGCTGGCAGTCTTACATTAATTAATTAATATTACTTCCGAAT